AGAACAGGTAATACCTAGTTACCTCATGGTTATCTACAGTCTATACTTCAGAACCATCTCCTTCATGAGAACACAGCACACTTTTAAATACCTTCTTCTCAGGCACAAAGCAATAAAAACCCATCCAAGGGTCCTTTTCTAGCTGTGATATTGAGCACTGAATTTGAGAGTCAGGAGGCCTGGGTTGTGGTTTAGACTTTAGAAGGAATTTATCCTGATGGCTGGGGTTGGATAGACCAGCCTTTCCCAAAGTGTGCTCTGTGAAATGTTAATCCTCAGAATGCTCTTAGAAAAGTGACTCAGTTTGCAAACATCAAAAACTCTGTTTCACTCTTAGACATCACAGAACGCCGTGGTATAGCAAAGGCTACCTTTTTTGTACAAAATTGATATATCCCTAAGAACTGGGGACCTATTAAAGACTAACCTAGATGCACTTTAAAATTCCTAATAATAATTATCTGTGGTTATGGAATATGGAGATCTAAACCAGGACAAGAAAATAAGGAATGTAAGGCAAGGAAAGAAAATGAAAAGAGGAAAAGATAATTCGATAATTAGAAGTAAATGCTAGTGAAATGAGATTGCAATGAGATATGGGAACCTGCTATGAGGACAAGGTTTAACACAGACAGCCTATAATATAATCCCAGGACAGGTTTCCTTAAGACAAGAATGACCTTTTCTTCTTTAGTATTATAATCATCTGACCCTGCTGAAGAAAAACATCATTGCGTCCATACTGTTGCTTAGACTTCAAATTTCAGATGTAGAATGGGTGTTTGCATTCTCCTTAGGAATTCTAACTCCAGGAAGAGTAAAGTAAGATCCAAGGCACTTTTCTAGATCCACTGACTGCCTCTAGGTGAAGCTGAGTTTCTAGGATAAGTCAGAAACCAAAATTCCTTTGACTATGGTCAGAATGAACCTGCTCTGTGAGTTCTTGGCAAATATGGACAGCACTAAGAGACACATTTTCTTACCCAGAAAGTAAGTCCATGGAGATTAAGTGCTATGTACACTGGGCGGAGACTATTATTAAATAAACAGGAGGTTGTAAACTACCTCAGAGTTATAGAGATCTTTATATCAATTTTCCAAATCAGTCTCATATCTCTTGACTGACTTGGTCCTCACGAAAGCCCTCTGTGGTAGGTAATTTTTGCCTAATATTTTACAGTTGAGAGCAACATTATCATCCATAATAACAGCATGAGGGACATTGTGCAAAGTGTTTTACCCACCTTGTCTCATGTAATCCTCATAGCAGCTCTGCCGGTTAGGCATACATGGTGATTTCCATTATACAGCCAAAGGTCCACATAACAGAGCTAAATTTAATGCAATATCCTGGTTTTAAACTCAGGTCTCTCAAATTCTAAACACTTGGCCATCTCTAACTCATCAGAACCAGCTAAAGGCTGCCCATGAGTGACCCTGCTCCATACATTAGTACTTTCTCCACGGTGCCATGCTGCCTCAGGCTGCCTAAACCCCACTCAAACTAGTAATATTTAATCCACTCTCTCAGTTATAGTCTAAATCAGAAGTGGGCAATACACAGTCTATGGGCCAAATTTGGCTTGCCCCATGTTTTTCTATGGCCGATGAGCTAAAAATCTTTCTCACCGTTTTACATGGTTGAAAAAAATCAAAATAATGCTTTTTTTGTGACATGACAACTACATGAAATTCAAATTTCTGTGTTCATAAATAAAGTTTTCTTGGAACATGTCCGTGTTCATTTACATGTTGTTTATGGCTGCTTTTCTGCTACTGTGATAGAGGTGAGTAGTTGCAAGAGATTGTATAGCCCATAAAGCCGACTTCTGGTTTAAAATGTAAAGGACTATTTTCTTTTTTTTTTCCAGAATAAGAAAGGTATAGAGTCAGATGATGTTCATTTCACACAGCATGCAGAGGAGATATAAAAGACTCAAATTTGGATCCCAGCTCTGCTGTCCAGGAGCTGCAGGGATAATTGCCCAAGCTACTCAACTTTTTTGTGCTTTGGTTTGTCTTATTTGAAAAACAGAGCAATAATTCCAAACTTGCAGTTTTTGGTGAAGTTTTAATGAAGTAGTGTGTACAAAACATAGTGCATAAAGCAAATAGTAGGAGCCCCTTAGTAAATGAAATCTACTTGCCTGTTGATGGTGCTTCTGTTCTTTTAGCATTAATATCAGCATGGGCAGATCATAGGAAATTAGCAATCTTTCGTGATAGCTGGCAGATGTATCAAATGAAATGAAACTGCTGCAAGGTCAATGGCATGATAGGATAAAAATGTACATAGTAAAATGTAGGAATTGTTTTCCACCCGGTGAGCCTGAGTAACAATGAGGCTTTGATATGTTGATGGATTAAGCAATTGCAGTCAATGAAGTCCAATAATCCATCCACCTACACCTTTATCATTAAAGTTGATACCCAAATCATCATTAAAGTTGATACCCAAATTTGGAAGACTGTAAAGTAAATTAGGGATACTTAGTTGAACAGGCCATTTCATTCCTCTTCTGCCAGTTACTTAGATAACCTTGATTCAGTCTTTTTAAGGAAGCAAAAATAAAGATAATTGCTCTTTCATTCTAACAGTATGTCCGAGTTCTAATTCACTTGACTTGACATTGTATCTGCTCTTCAGTGATTAACACACTGACCTCAAATAATTTTCCTTTTTAAAAATCTAATAGACAAAGCAGCATTTCTCTCCTTATCTCAGTACACCTTTCCAGGAAGATTGCAAAGCCAAACTCTAGGATGGTCCACCTCAAGTCCTACCAATGAGTGTGCAGACGACAGAATCTTGTTAAGATTGGGTATTTGGGAGAGCTTCTAAAGGTCTTAACTATACTCCTTCCTTAGGTGGAGGGAAATGCCAACAGCTGGCAAGAACTTTCTTTCCCTTTCTTAGTTTTATGCAACTTTGTCCTCTGTTACATACACTGAAGTAAGCAATTGACCTAGAGCTAGCCTTTGTCAAGAAAGTGAAATTTGTTTCTGGTGCTCTATTCATCGCACTCTCTCCCATAATCTCTTTCCACACTGTCTCAACACCTCATACTCTCTTTCCTTAGTTGCAAAATGCTCTTGGCCAGAGATGTGTTTTAGTTATTTATACGTTAGCATTACTTTTTTTCAAAAATTCGTTATCTTGCTCCTCTCATAGTAATTCATACAAATATACTCCCTGAAGCTTTAGGGTGTGGGGGTGGATTTTCTTTCTTTTCTTTTTCTTTCTTTTCCCCTTTCTTTCTCCATCTCTTTCTCTTTTTTGGCCTATGTTTCCTTTGCAGAATGAAAAAAGAAAATCTCTCTTCTGGTAATGATATTTCAGAAAGCAGATGGGCTAATGTGGAATCACCCTAAAATTAAAACTTGTTTGGGGCTGTTTGTTTTACCCACTGGATGGCATGGCTTGACCCACATAGAAACATTGGAAGAAGTGGAGTAGGTCCAGGAGAGGTGAAAATTAGGATGTAGGGGGCATCTATATCTTCTAGTGTTCACGACAATTCAACCAAGAAGGCTGTATTAAAATGGCTTCAAAAATGAGGAACTTGAGGCTCAGAAGAGGTTAAGTAATCATTGAAAGTCACTTAGGAGCAAATGACTTATAGGAGCTCAGGTACATTGGCCTTCTCCTGTGCTTATATTTACCTAATAAACCAGATGGTCTTTGTGCATGGCACATTCTTTAGCATAATCAGGAGTAGCTGTCTAATCTGAGACAGTGTAGCCAAAACACAGAGCTGGCCAGTTATTTTCCCTGCCTCTGCAGCTGCCTCTCGATAAGGACTGAAGACTTGAGATGTTAAGGGAAAATGTGGCAAGCAGAATCAACCAGGTCTGCAAGTCTGCAACTCATTGTCCCTGAGTGAAAATCTGAAATGCAACACCAACATGTTTCAGTGTCAGTATGGCAATTGGTGAACTAAAGAGATGTCCACCTTCTTCAATCAAATGCAAATTATCCATAGCTTTAAGTGACAAAGGTTGAAACAGGCTTCTGTTTAAAATCCTTGCAATAAAAACACAGAGGGTATCTAAAATCCCTGAGTCCCAACTTGCTAGTTCTCAGAGAAAGCAGTAACTGCACAATTAAACAGGCTTGCCTCACTGTTGCTCTAATGGAGTCAGACACAGGGGGTTGGGAAACAAAACAAAACAAAACAAAACAGTAGACTGTGAGTCAAAAGGCCTGATTTCTACTTTTGGGTAAATCTCAACTCATCACGAGAGTCTGAAAAATCCTCTTTACTCTTCAGACACCAGATTCCTAATTTGCAAAAGAAAGAGATAGAGTGAGATGGTGTCTAAATTCTTGGCCAACTCTAGGAGTCTACTTCCTGTTAAAATAGTTAAGTAAATTTCTAAATTATTAATCACATTTTTTTCCAGTTGTGTAAAATATTATCCTGTATTTCTCCCTCTCTCTGTGTCTTTCCTATCTTTCTTTCTTTCTTCACGCCCTTTCTCTTCTCTACCACCTCCTTTTTACCCCTAAAAGCAGAATCTCAGTTCAGGAATTATTTCCTGGTGCCTTCAAAGCCACAAAGACTCTGGCCTTTTAGATTCAGTGTCCTCGGGAGACATGCCTTGTGTATTCTGTTTAGATCAAAGCCGCCTTTCTGCCTCCAATTCTGGGTCTCCTAAGTTTCTACTTTGCCTTCATTTTCCTTTTCTGGTTCCACTAAAGAGAGTATGAAACCCAAGAGCAAATACATTGAAAAGACTAAAAACTTTTCCCTTTGCCTTTGGATTTGGGTTCTCACACTGCCGTTCTCTGACAAATGCTGATACAAACTCTCATCTAAGATTCTTGGAAAGCCACAGGCAGGAGGGTTGGGCTGGGGAGTTTGTTGTTTTATTCAGGACTTCGGTCAAGGGGCAGAAATATTTCAGCCTAACAGATATCAGCCTAATGTAAAAATAATAATAGTACTCAATGCACAAATGCCGGCCATGCAGTTGTTCCCGCTCCCTCTGATACTCACAGTTCAACCGCATTCCTCGGGAGGTCAGAAGGAATCTCTGTCACCTTGCTCTCTTGGCAGAGAAAAACCCTGTTAGAGCAGTGACAGATCCGATGATGACATCCTGAGCCCACGCTCAGGAATGCCAGCAAAGAGACCAGGAGCAGGGCCATAATTACACATCCATCCACCTGCTTTCTTCCTGCATTCGCAGAGAAAAACCTCCACAGATCTCAGGAGCTCCACACAGTGCCCTTATGAGAAGAGATCTGACTTGAGAACTGGTAGGGTCATGTGACGCACCAAGGGATGCTTTTTTTTTGGTTACTTCCAGGCAAGATAAGCTACTCTGTTTTCCTTCAAGATTGGGTTTCTTACACCCTGACCTAAGGAACACAGCAAATAGAACCGTTAGGCATGTCTGGAATAGTTTGCATTATTTCATTGCAAAAGTCTCCTTGCTGTTCACCATTCTCTTCTCAACAGAGTAACATGATTGACTTTCTCCAAAAAAGACACAACACACAATATGACACATCACTAAGAGGGGTACTAACAAGTGAAGGGCCAGGACCTTCAGTCTTCAGCATCTATTTCTTCCACCAGCCCACCTGAGAGAAAACCAGCCCTTTCGGGTTGCATTCAATGATCCTCTTTTTTGCTGTAATTATGCCAAAAATGGCACTATTCAGAAACAGGCAGAGCGTTAGCAAACCCTAGGCAGATTTCCGTAGGTGGGAGGTACTTCTGATAGGGTTATCTGTAAGAATAATTGACTGAACTGAGAGACCTAAGAAATGGGCTATGTTTCCAGTGGAGATTTAGTAAATGCCAGCACATCCACCCCCTCATGCATATCCTGCCTGCCTTCTGGCATTTCCAGGCTCTGAAGATTGCCCTTGCCTTTTGGCAGTTGGCATAGATGAATTTATTTAATCTATGCTTTTAACTTAGTTTTAAATGTTCCCTGAGGTGACAGCCCAGCACTTTTGTTGGCATTCCTCTCCTTGATGGTGAGGGATCTGAGGAACGTTTGGCAACAATTTTAGAAAAGTGGCTTTGTACTTTCAATTCTAGAATCTATGAAGATTAAAAGGCAGAGTATTCTGTAAGATCCTGCCCACAACTTATTACCTGCTAAAATTAGTTTCAATACTCTCTTTAGATAATTAGTTGCGTAAAATTGAGCTTCATGAAAATGTTAAAAATACATACCTATCCCACCTCTCCTTCCCTCTCCCCTGCTTTACAAGGAAAACCATGTAATGAGTGATTAAATTATTAAGAAAAAAACAGAAGCAAGTGATTTGGGGGGTAAAGTTGATCCCCAGATTTTTCTGGGAGCAACTGGTTATTCTAATTCTGGAATTGGCAGACAAAGTATTCATATGGACTTCATATTTTTAACAAATTGGCTAACATGAACAGTTAAATTAGTTTGTTCAACAACTGATCCAAGGAATTATAGTCTTTCAGATGTGGAAGGAAGTTAATTCAATCAACCAACTAATGCTTAAGTTTAAGTATTAATATTAATTTAAAAGGATTTTCTCATCTGTACTTGAATAACTCCAGTGACAAGAAACCCACTACCAATTAAATCTTTTACCCAATTCCTCTGCCCCATAATCCCCCTCCTAGCTTTTGGAGAGTTCTGTAATTAGTCTTTGTGTAATAAGCACAAATCTTTTTAAGATTGAGATTTTTATTTTAAATGCTATGTCATATTCACAACTTACAGGTAACATAAATGTAATTTATTAAGCATAATAATGCAACAAACAATTGCGGGCTAGAGAATAAAGGACATAGCCTGTACTGTTGCATCTACTTAGTTGATGTTCCTTTATTACCTTCTTGTGTTGCTATGCCCAAGGTGACCATTAATCTGAATTTTGTGGTTATTATCTCATTTGTTTTGTAAAATTAATCATCACAAAATGCATGTATCTCCAAAGAATATATTATTTAATTTCTTGCTTGTTTTTAGATTTTATACAAAGTCTATCACTCTTTAAGTAGTATTTTGCTACTTACTATTTTACACTAACTAGACATTTTAAAGAAATAACCATGTTGTTATGTGTATCTGTAGTTTATTGATTTTGTGCCTGTTATGTGTACCTGTAGTTTACTAATATTATTCTACTGTATGATATTCCATTGCATAAATATACCATAATTTATGTTTTCATTCTCCTGTGAGTTTTAAAATCCTGAGGTGGTGAAAATATTATTTTATATTTTCTCTAAAATTTTTTAGTTTCACTCTGTACATTTTAGCCTTTGATCTATTTGGCATGGATATTTATGGTGTGAGTAAAGGACTCAATTTGTTTTTTATCTGATGGCATAATGGTTTTATCCACATGGATAAACATTTGTCCCAAAACCATTTATTGAATGGTCCCTCTTTTCTTCTCTCACTTGTAAAACTACCTTTCTCATATCTCAAGTAACTATTTTGCGTGGGTTTGTGTCTAAGCTTTTTTATATTCCACTGTTGTTTTTTCTACATTACATCAATGTTATACTGTCTTAATTACTACAACTTTAAAGTAAGTCTTGATATACAGCAAGAAAATACTTCTGTCTTATTTCTTATAGGAGTATCTTGCCTATTTTGGACCTATGACTGAATTTTAGAATCAGATTATTAAACTCCTTGAAAACACCCTGGTATAATTTGTTTGGAATTATACTGATTACATAGATTAATTTAGGCAGAAATTATCACCTTTAAGATAACGAGTCTTCTTATCCATGAATATGGTATAGCACCATGTTGTTTAAGCCCTTCTTTGATGTCTTTAAATAAAACTTTATACTTTCTTCCATATATGTCCTAATACCTTAAATGTGTTTCCTGATAACATCCTGTTTTATGCTGTTATAAATGAAACCAATATTTAAAGTGACATTTTATGTTTGTGGTCATACTATAAAAATGCAATTAATTTTGGAATATTTACCTTATATCTAAATTACCTTATTACATTTTCTATGCAGACAATTCTATCCATATCCAAATAATTCTGTGTATGTGTATGTGTGTATGTGTACAGAGTTTCTTTCTTTTCAATTCGTTCTTCCCTTCCTCCTTTTCTTCCCCGACTCCAACTTCCCTTTCTTCTCTCTCTCCTTCTACTCTTTCTTTATTTTTTTTTGACATGGAGTTTCATTCTTGTCACCCAGGCCAGAGTGTAGTGGTGTGATCTCGGCTCACTGCAACCTCTGCCTCCTGGGTTCAAGCGATTCTCCTTCCTCAGCGTCCTGAGTAGCTGGGATTACAGGCACCCAACACCATGCTCAGCTAATGTTTGTATTTTTAATAGAGATGGGTTTTACCACGTTGGCCAGGCTGGTCTCGAGCTCCTGACCTCAGGTGATCCACCTGCCTTGGCCTCCCAAAGTTCTGGGATTACAGGTGTGAGCCACTGCCCGTGAGCTACAATAATAATTTTATACTATTAAACTACTCATTTCCTAATATTTTATTTAGAAAATTTGCATCTATGTTCATAAGTTATTTGTAACTTAGTTGTGAGTAATTTTTAGTGCATAATTATTAATTTCTGAGTTTTCTTTCTCATGTTGTCCTTGTATAGTTTGGTGTCATGGTTACATTTGCCTTACAGTCTGAATTGGGGTATAATCCCCCTCATTTTATTCTTAGAGAAAAAACTGTTTCAGATTCAAGTAATCTATTCCTTTAAAGTCTGCTTGTATTTGCCTAAGAAAAACTTGAGCCTTGGTTTATATTTGTGTGTATATGTGTGTGTCTGTGTGCATGTTTGTGTGTGTTAGTGTATGTATGAAACTTTAAACATATTGATTCAACTTCTTTATTGTCATTAGATAATTCAGGCTTTCTATTTCTTCTTAGATTTATTATAGTTTTTCTAGGAATTTTTCATTTTACTTAAGTTTTAGAATTTAGTCTCACAAAGGTTTTTAGTATTCTCTTTTTAAATCTATTCTGAACAATTTCTAGTCTTGTTTATTTCTGTTTAGTATCTTTTCATTAATCAACCTTTCCAAAATTCTCTTTATTTTACTTGTTCTTTCAAAGAACCAACTTTTGCCTTTAGCCTTTGCTGATCCAATTCTATCTTTATGTTTTGTTTCCACGATTTTTGCTCTTACTTTTTCCTTTTTTTTTTTTTTGAGACGGAGTCTCGCTCTGTCACCCAGGCTGGAGTGCAGTGGCACGATCTCCGCTCACTGCAAACTCCGCCGCTTCCCAGGTTCACACCATTCTCCTGCCTCAGCCTCTCTAGAAGCTGGGACTACAGGCGCCCACCACCACGCCTGGCTAATTTTTTTTATATTTTTAGTAGAGATGGGGTTTCACAGTGTTGCCAGGGTGGTCTCGATCTTTTGACCTCGTGATCCGCCCGCCTCGGCCTCCCAAAGTGCTGGGATTACAGGCGTGAGCCACCGCGCCAGGACTATTTTTTCCTTTTTGTTGTTCCTTTCTAAAACCTTTTATTTATATGTCAGATTATTAATTTTCAGCCTTTCTTCCTTTCTAATAATATACTAAAGCCGTAAATTTTTCTATAATTTCTGCCTTGGCCCTCTTCTACAAGTATTGATAGGTAGATCTTTCATTACAATTTATTTTTAAATATTTCTCAATTTCCCATTACAATTTCTTCTTTGGCACATAGATAATTGAGAGATGTGTTTTTGAAATTTACAAACTTCAGAAATATTTAAATTTATGTTTTTTATTATTTACCTCCACCTTAATTGCATAATGGTAGGAGAATGTGGTCTGTGTTGATTCTATTTTCCCCCATACATGTTGAGATGTGTTTTATGGTTTAGGACACAAGTTAATTTTTACAAATACTTAGTGTGAGTTTGAGAAGAATCAACATTCTCTGTTTACTTGTTTCCAGGTTCTATTTTTGCCCCATACATTCAGCTTATTTTCTTAAAATCTATATATTTACTAACATTTTAAGTTTTACTTAAACTAATTGAAGTATTTCTGTTGAAATTTCACATGATCAGGATGATACAAGTCTCTATAATTCTGTTAGTTTTCCTTTATATATTTCAAGGCTGTTTTCTTTGGGCCATGAACATTTAGAATGGTATACCTGGTGAATTAAACCTTCTATCTTTTGTCACATCTTACTTTACTCATAATACTGCCTTTTATCTTGAAGTCTATTTTATGTGATATTAATATAGATATATCAGCTTTTTCTACCTTTGTACTTTCAACCTTTCTGTGTCTTTATGTTCTAGGCATTTTAA